CTGCTACCTCAAAGTAAGGGGGGGGGTGTCCCAGCTTGCCACCCAGACTGTTAGGGAATGCCTGGTTTTATTTTAAGTACTGGCAGCTAATTAAAAAGTTTAAAAAGAAACGAGCAGATCAATGATCATTATCTGACTCAGGATATAAGTGTGAACAATGTTGTCAGCCCATCATAAAAATGCATAAAATTTAGAGAATAAAACAGTGTTTTCACTGTTTAAATAAAGCACTTTATTTATATGTTTAAATAAAGTACAGAGCACAGCTGGGGACTAGAAAGTACTGTAGAGTACAGGAGCAAAGCAGCTGAAGCACAGAGATTTACAAAGCCAGGAAACGCTGGGATATTCTCCTGCTTTCCCAGAAGAGACAACCTCCAGGTTGGCCTCACCCACGTGACTCTGAAGCGAACCCTAGCACCCCCATGTCCAGCCCACAGTGTATCCACGTGCACCTCCAGATCCATGGAGAGAAAGCAAGCGTGACAAAGCCGGGTCCACAGTGGGCCTGGGTGGGAAGGTGACTGCTGCTGTCTGCTGTAGAAAGCCCTACGGAGGGGCCAGAGAGAGCAGGCACGAGGGACAGGGCCAAGACAGTGAGGAGGTGGCCCTGGGTGGGGAGAGGGGTGTGTCTGAGCCGCAGGAGCCTGGGCTTGGAGGGTCAGGGGGCCCACAGAAAGGGCCCGGCCTCTAGTCTCATCTCAGAGGGTTTGCAGTGCTTCTCAGCTGTCATCGCTCCTGCTGCTGACACAACAGCAGAGAAAGTGTGCTCAGGAGTCACTTGTTGGTATTTCCAGAGTGTCTAAAATACCCAGGACCAGGCCGGCCGAGTGGCGTTGATGGTTAAGAACTGGCTTGGGATGCCAGAGGGCCCCGGTTTGGATCCCACATATGAGGGCCAGTGACACTGCGCCCTCCACAGCTAAGATGCTGAACAACAGCTCAACCTGGAGCTGGGCTGCTGTGAGTCGCCGGCAACGCTGTAGGCTGCAGNAAAAAAAAAAAGGAAATGGGCTGAAACGGCAGCTGCAGCGTCTTTTGTGCCCTAACAAAGACCCCTTCCATGCGATGAAGCTACTCCAAACAGTGATGAACACACAACTTCCAAATTTGCCCCAGGGCATGGCATCACTGCAGGGGAGGCAGCCAAGAAGGGTGGACCCTCAGGTCGCTGAAAGAGACCCAATCACAGAAGAACCAGCAGACCTTCCAGGAACTGAGGGCGCCTGGGGGAAACTGGGGACACGGAGACTCTTCATAGGCTTTGGCCCTGAATACACAGCCAGAGAGGCCCAAACAGAACTGGACACCTTGCCCCAACAACCCGGAGTCCTGGCGCCAGGCCGTTTCACAGCCCCGCACACGCTGGGGGCCACTGTTTAACCACCGGGAGACCGCCAGCTGCAGCTCTTCTCTTGGAGAGAACACAATTCTTTGAAACACTACGATGATGTGGGCAGACGCAAATACTCAGATGGGTTCTGAGAGCATAGCCATCGACCCCACGCTTGTCCAGTGGGAGCCCCTGGGCCAGCTGCCCAGAGCTGGGGCAGCACAAGGTGATGGGAAGGAACTTGGGCAAATAAAAGAATAAAGAAGGAATCCCATGCCCACTGTCCTCTACCCATGCAGTAGGCAGACAGCGGCCGGCTCCTGTGGAACCAGGGAAGTGAGCTCTCCACAGAGGCACAGCTACCACTCAAAGCTTCTGTGAAGAATCACAATGACAGACTCGCATGCACCAGCCCTCAGAGCTGGCATTCAGAAGGCACCCCCCACACATGGCCTGGGCTCCCACGGAGCCTCAGAAGCCTGGACTGAGCAGCGGGGACAGCTGCAGGGACATGGTGGGGACAGAAAGGAAGACACCAGAAAGCCTCTGAGCACTTCTCCAGGACTGACTGGCAAACAGCCGCTGTCACCACACTCTGCAACGGCAGCAGCCGCAGGCTCATACTCTGGGCTGCCTGCCCGCATTTTCCTGTTAGGAAGGGAGGGGCCAGCCAGGCAGGAGAGACGGCACCCTGGGAAGGTGCCAGGCCCCCAGCAGGGAGGCCGAGAGGTGCATGTGGGTTTGTGAGGCCACCTCTGCAGAGCTCGTCCCTGGAATGCGTTCCTTCTTATGACCGTGAGTCGGGGGACATGCTGACAACATGCCAGGAGCACTGGCCGGTCAGCAAAGGCAGCTCACCTGGAACCAGTCCGCATAGGACAAGAACA